ATCGGTCTGCGCCCCCATCTCGGCAAGCACTTTGGAATAGCTGCAGAGAAGGATTTCCGAAACCCTCGCAAAAACACCCTGATCCTATTCTGAGGCAACATGTAGTCGTTTGCATTCAGCACCGCTGCCTGGGAGGGCAACGCCGTGAGGTCTCCGAACCCCCATCGAATTCCCCCCCCCCCCCTTCTTGCCCCCCAACCCTTCCCAGCCCCCGACGCATCAGTCTTCCCCGGGGAAATAGAGGGGTAGGAATCCATCACTAGGTTGCCCCCCTTCATCAAGGAAGGCCTCCCAATCGAACTCGCTGCAGACAAAGCGAAGCTCCCGAAGAAATCGATCCATGACAGGCTCTTGGTTCTGCGTTGCATGTTGTACACCAATGACATTTTCAATGACAGCGCCGATGAGCCCGCCAGCCTTGATCAAAAAAATACACCATTTCAGCACAGTGATAAAGACCTTCCCACGCACATCGTCCAGCGATTTTTTGGGCCCGATTGACGACCGCGGAGGGCGGGGGGGGCCGCTCGCCAGGAAGGCGACGGGCCGTGATAAAGAAGACAGCGTTTGTTTCGTAATGTCACCAGCATCCTTCCCAACGTGCAACTCGGCCTCAATGCTCTGGACGCCCTGGCCCAGTTGTTCCAGATGTTGTCTCAAGTATGCCCCATAAGAAGGTTCCAGGTCGAAACAGTTCACGGTGTCTGCCCCAACTCCCATCGAAAACAACGAGTGCCCGCATCCATGGATGCCAACGCAAGGGCAAGCAACTTTGATCCTTCGATCCAGTCGGGGAAGGGCGGCGAAAAAGTCTGACCGCAACGGCAATGGGGGGGTCATGTCAACGATGCGCTGCAGTGCGTCCTGATGGGTGTCTGGGTCACCCCTGCCACTGACGTAGGACAAGGAAGGGACTAGATGCGGGCGTGAGCTCCCCCCTCCCCTCTCCTATGCCATTGGCAGCGGGCAGGTCGAGACGCCCCTCTTCCGCGCGCCACTCCTGGGGCGCGCCGCCGGCGTCGCCGGTGGCCGTTCCGCCCCGGAACGCCACCGCGGCCAGCAGAGCCAGCGTCATTGCCGCCAGAAGGTGGTCGGGGCCACCTATGGAACCAAAAGTGGTCTCAGGAGGTGGGAATGCCTGTTCAACCATGGGGGCCGACGGCGGAAGGCTATGAGGGGGAACGCAAAGGGACAATATCAGGAGGAGGTGGAACAGGAAGAGTAAGAGGATTGAAGGAGGGAGGAAGAGGAATGCGGAGTTTGCGGGTGGAGCGGCAGGAGGATGATGGGGGAGAAGGAGGAGGAGGAGGAGGAGGAGGAGGAGGAGGAGGAGAAGGAGGAGGAGGGGGAGGGAGAGAAAATGGGGACGAGGAGAGGAGTAGGGAGGAGCGGGAAGGAGTACGAGGCGGAGGGCGCGGAGGAAAGGGGGGGGGCGGAGCAGGAGCAGGAAGGAGAAGAGGGAGGAGAAGGAAGACATGGAGGTACATCAAGGAGGAGGAAGGCCGAGAGGTGCAGAAGGAAGCGGAGGAGGGAGGAGGAGCGGGAAGGAAGAGAGGAATAAGCTAGAGAGGGAAAGGGGGGGAGGAAGACCGCAGGAAGAAGGAGAGAAGCGACGGTTGAGCAACGTAGGAGGGGAGGAGGAGGAGGAGGAGGAGGAGGAGGAGGAGGAGGAGGAGGAGGAGGGGGAGGGGGGGGAGGAGGAGGAGGAGGAGGAGGAAGACGACGAAGAGGAGGAGAGACATGGACAAGAGGAGCCCCCCATCTCTGCTAACGTGGCCTCTGGGCTGGGCTGTTCCGCGGGGTCGGCGACCAGCAGGCGTCTTAGGTGCGCCGATTCGGGGCGGAATCGGTGCACTTAAGACGCCTGTGTTTCCTGGGGCCTCGGGGGGCGTGTTCGGAAAGGGGTGGGGTGGCGGTGGGGGGGGTGGTGGTGGTGGTGGTGGTGGTGGTGGTGGTGGTGGTGGTGGTGGTGGTGGTGTGTGTGTGTGTGTGTGTGTGTGTGTGTGTGTGTGTGTGTGTGTGTGTGTGTGTGTGTGTGTGTGGGGGTCGGGTCGAACTGCCAGGGCGGAGCGATGCTCGCATCCCCCATGCACAGCCCCCGTGCATGCCCCGTGCATGCCCCGTGCATGCCCCGTGCGTACTCCGTGCATACCCCGTGCGTGCTACACCCCTCTGGCTATAGCGTGCACTGGGTGATCGCGCCCTCCCCATCGGCCTGGGGCCGCCTTGGGCCTTGCGTGCTCGCCGCGCGGGCTGCCAGACCCCAGCAGGACAAGCGATGCCCCATGAAGCCCCGAAAGACACGCAGCCCTTGAGATCTTGGGGGACCTCGAAGATCACCCTGGGACTTCTGAGACACCCAAGCCCTACGATACCAGACCCCATCTGGACCTGCCCCCCCCAAGCCCTGGAAGTTTTGCCCAAGCAGCCGTTTCGGCCCAAAGATGACATTGCGGGAGCTTCCTGACCTGGAACAACTTGATGTGCGATTCCACATTGAATTCGAACTTCCAGAAGGGACGCTCACGAGCGCCGATGAGACTCTCATCCGTGAAACGACAGGGTGCGAGGCAAACACCAGAGGGAGAGCAAGAGGCCGCGGTCGTTTGTTCACGCTGAAGGGCCCGAAGGAGCAGGCGCAAGCCGCGTGCGCCCTAGCGAAACAGCTCATGCAGCGCAACGGTCTAGATGGAGGCCGGGGACTATCGCAGCCGACGGCACCTTCCTCGCCGTTCCCCCTGGCCTACAGGAAGCCTACTGGAGCGGCAACCCTTCATGGTGGGAGCCTTCGTCGCGGGCGCAGCATGCTCAGCAATGGTGGTGGCCTGAAGAACAGGGTGGCGGCCAGCAACAGCAGTTCAACGCGACCGAGCAGCGGCAGCAGCAGCAGCAGGGGTGGTACTGGGGGTCTCAGCAAGACCATGCTCACTGGACTGACGCGTGGGTTCCTCAGGGGCCCCGGGGCCAGACCCAGCAAGTGGAGCAGCCGCAGCAGGGGTCCGGAGCAACGTGGGCCAATCAGAGCATGGGGTGGCCGCGAGGAGACCAATGCGAGCCTGATCGGGCGACCGGCGGCGTGACCGCCAAGGCAGGCCATGACTGCGCCCCAGCCGCGCCCGAGCGCCAAGTCAGGCCGAGGCTGCCGGCGCCAGCTGGGCGCCCAACGGCGCCTGCACCAAAGCCGCGGCCGAAGCTACCGCAACCACGCCAGCCAGCGACGGCGCCTGCAACGCCATCGCGCCCCCCGGGGGGGCCAGAACCACCTCGGCGACAGACAGCGCCTGCAGCGCCACCGCAGCCATCACATCAAGATCAGCCTTCAGTTCCAGCCGGCGAGGTCGCAGCTGCAGCCGAGCAAGCTTCAATTCCACCCGGGGCCGCTGCTGTTCTAACCGAGGCCGCACCTTCAGCAGCAGATCCTGCTCCTGATGAGTCCGATCATGAAGCAGAGCCACACCGTCGTGCCACGACCGACCGCTACGGCGGATTCATCCCCATGCCATTCGTATTGGCTGAGGACATCGGGGGGCTCAGGAATAGGGGGAGCGAGGGAGAAGGGTCTCGATGCCTCAGCACTGCTTCTACACCAAGGCCTCGAGGGCCCACGCCAGGGGCCCGCGCGGGGCCTTCGCCCCCCCCCCCCCCCCCCCCCCCCCCCCCCATAATTGAGCACCCTGAAGGAGGGAGGAGGTCAGAGGTTAGAAGGAGGACGAGGGGGGATGATGTGAAAGGGAAGCGCTGCAACATGAGGATATGTGCAGAGAGCGTGAAAGAGGGGGCTGGGTAAGGAGGGAGGTGAAGAAGGAGCAGACTGAGGAGAAAGAGGGGCAGGATAGGAAGGGCGGGGCAGGATCAGAAGAGAGATGCGGATGATGATAAAGAGGAGGAGGAGCAGGTGGGGGGGAAAGAGAGAGGGAGAGAGAGAGAGAGAGAGAGAGAGAGAGAGAGAGAGAGAGAGAGAGAGAGAGAGAGAGAGAGAGAGAGAGAAAGATATAGAAAGAGAGGAGAGGGAGAGGCCCTAAAACTGTCGGGCTTAGCCCCGCAGGACCAGAGCGGCGAGCTCTTCTTCGCGCCGCGCACCGCCCCCGATGGCGAGGTTGTTAGCCCCTTCTCTGAGGGCGACGATGGCTCGGCGACTGAGGTGGAGTCCCTGTGTGATCTATGAAGGAGCTGTAATTTAATGCGTTGCGAGATCTATCACTTCGCCGAACCATAGGCACCCAAAGAGAAGCGAGAGCCCCCGAACCTGATTCTCATGGGGGCTTATCGGTCGTGGACCCCCTGCGCCCAAAGCGCCCAAATCATGTTACCAAAGTAGAATCAAACTTGTCGTGTTTCGTGGGGCCCAAGAGTGCCCTCGTGAGGTATGGCCTGACAGCTACGTGCGGATTGGAACTTGACACAGGAACGCGCGCGTGACAGGACATAGCTTCGGGGTGTCAAAAAGTGGAAGGGGGAGGCAATCACCGCTGGTTTAAGATATGCAAGTGCCTTTGCGCGGCCCAGAGAGCCCACCCCGAGGCCTACCAGGAAACCTTCGATCCCATCTCTGGCAACGCGACGCAATGCAATGCATACTCGCTCGGCAAGGCAATGCGCAGAACAACGATCGCGTAGCAATGCAAAGCAGACCCCCCCCCTCCTCCCTCGTCAATTATCACTTCGAGCGCCTTTCACAACTGCCCGTTTGGGGGGGGGGGGGGGGGGGGGGGGGGGGAGTAGCCTGCGTCTTCACCTTCAGCCTCCTCCTCCCTTTTCCTAGTCTTCCTCCCCTTCGCCTTCCTTCCTTCCTCCTCCTCCTCCTCCCTGCCCCTCTTCCTCCTATTCTTCCTTCTCCCCGCCCTGCCCCTCGGGGCCCTTCGAAGGCACCCCCTTCCTCCTCATTTTCTCCTCCTCTTGTTTCTCCCCCCCCCTCCCCCCCCCCCAAATCCAACCGCCTCCTTTTTTGTCAACGAGCAAGCGGTTGGCTCGCCACCGCGCCTGCCCGAAGGCCAAGTACCATGTCGATCCGCAGCTGCATCTCGGCTCGCCGCTTGCAACTGGCATCGTTGTTTCGCTTGCCCCCCTTCGCCCAGCCCAGCCCGGGCTGCGCCTGGAGCCCGCGCCGCGGCGGCGACCGCTGCGAAAGCAAAGGCCCAGCCCGCGGCGGAGGCGCGCGACGTCGAGGTTTCCAAGGCGACGAGCGCCCAGGCCGCAAAGCCGCCGGATACCGCCAAGGGCCCCCAGGCTTCCAAGCCGCAGGAGACCGCCGAGGGCCCCCCGAAACAGCAGGAGACCGCCAAGGGCTTCGAAGGCTCCAGAGAAGCGGGATCCCAGATCGGAAGCGCCCGGGGCCGCGGAGGCGCAGCGCGTGGAGGGGCCCACGAAGCAGTGCTGCACCTGCAAGAAGATGAAGCCCGAGTCCGAAATGAAGAATGCCAATGGCGAGTGGAGCAACCAGTGTCGCTGCTTGGACTGTAACTCATTGAGGGGCCGCCTCGACCGCCCGAAGAAGCACGACCCTGCTTTGGCGTCTGGCTACGCCAGCTTCTCCGACGACACGCGCACGCAGTTCTTCGCAGAGAACGTGCACCTGTTCAAGGATGATCTCAAGAAGGCATTGCAGGTCACGATCACAAAATGTTTCATCGAGAGGTTGTCGTCGAAACTCCCCGCAGAGGGCGACTTCGAGGGCTACGACGAGCTTGAGAAGAAGATGGGCGATTCCGTCGAGTTCAAAGAACTCTGCGCCAATGGCAAGGTGATCGACCACCCGATCCACGCCAACAAGAAGCTCGCGTGGAACCCAACGTACAAGATGAGCGTGGCCCAGGAGCAAATCCTGGAAGAGGAGCACACACGGACATTGACGCAGGAGGGGGAAAGGGAAGTAAAGCGCCAGAAGAAAGATCAGCAGCCGAAACAAGAAGAGGGACCAACAGGGCCAAACGAGGAGGCCCCCCTGCCGAAGGGCCTTGCGAAGCGCTTGGCCACCGTGCCCCCCGAGCTCGAGGCCGAGCTCATGAAGTGCGCGGCAAGTTTCGAGAAATCGAAGTCGGAGGAGTTCGCTGACAACTTCGCCCCCGCGCTGAAGACGAGGGCCGCCAAGACGCCCACCACTGCCAGCAAGCTCATCGAGTCGCTGAACGCGCTGAAGGTTGCCAATAAGACGGGCGACAAGGGCACGGTGCTAAAGCTTCTCAACGATGCCAAAGAATGCCAGAGTTTGCTCAAAGACGTGTGAGCCAAGATCACGACAGCCATGGACGGATGCTTCGACAGCGAAAAGGACGGGGACGCAGGCGGCGAGGGCGAGGATGAATCGAAGTGATTCAGGGCGTGGGAAATCCCGCCCGGGAGCCCGTCGCGTGCCATGTAGGTGTTGCGGAAACGACTCCACTGTCGAGACCGCCATGGTTTGCTCGGGCCATCTCTCAGCGCGTGCGCCAGTGACAGCGCCGCGACTAGAACCGCATGCGGGCTCGTACCCCAGCGGAGGCTCAGCAAAAATACAAAAGCAATTCCATCGTCATCACCATCATCATCATCACCATCACCATCGCCACCACCATCGCCATCACCATCGGCACCATCACCACCATCGGCACCACCATCACGACCACATCATCGCATCGTTATCATCGGAGTCGCCACCGCCACCATCCTCCTCTTCTACTCACCCCCGCCCACCCACCCCTCCACTTCCTTGCCAGACCTTCCCCCCGAGACACCCCTATGAGGCAGAACAGTCGGGCGGGGTGGCGAGCCAACCCCATGACGTCCAAATCGACGAGGGCGTGGACAGAGAGGGATTGGAATGGGAGCGCGGGCGAGCGTGGAGGGTCAGCTTAGGTTGAGGTGGATCGGGGGGGGGGGGGGGGGGAGGGCGGAGGCGGAGGAGGTTGGAATCTTTTTTTGCTTCGCGAATGCTTCGCGATCAAACGGGGCGAAGTCCTGGGAGCTGGGGTGCAATCGGCTTGATTCCACCAGTGCGATACTGAACCACAGGAATAGATTTCACCAGTTCTCGCGTTGCGCTGCAAAAACTCTCAGTGTTGCACGGCGTCCAAATGCCCGATTGGCCGGGCGACAGCGGGGCCCAGACGACGCTGTGGATGTCCTCGCGCCCAAGCAAAGGCCTCGCCCCCACAAAATACATGATCTTGCCCACGCGGTGACCACCCGGAACCGAAATCAAAATGTGCATGCCAGAACGCATCTCACCAATGGTTGTAACCATAACGTCGGCACGTTGAGACGGACCGACGTGAGGGATGCCGTGGGAAGCCATCAACAACGATGCAGCGTTAACATCGGATGTAACTCGCCCAATCAACCATTCAGATGGAATACCACCCTGAAATCTCACGAGGATGTCCAACAGTTGTCTTTTCATCACTGCGTGCTCCCAGTGCTCCCCGCCAGAATGCTCACCGATACACTTTGCGAACTTATGTTTCCGTTCAGTTGCGAAACAACTAAGAACATCTCCGACGTTCCTGATGTTCTTTGGTATGTGACGCGTGAAATGTAACTTGGGCTTCGCGAGCGCCACGTCGTACAACTGCAATGCAAGCCTGTGATGCTCCGACAAAACGGTTTCCATTTCCCTGGAATGCTGAACGGCCGAATCTGGAGTAGAAAGCATGTCTAACACTTTGGAGATCATCTTCAAACATTGTGTCTCCTCCAACATGTTTCCCATTGGTACCGCTACAACTTCTGCGAACTTGACGAGGGTTGTCACGGCGAAAATCGTCTCGCCAGCCCACGCCTTGATAGAACCACCAGGGGGCAAATTAACGCGATCCTGGAAAAAATCTACAGGCAACGATCCATTAGGTCACTTGATCCTATTTTGAAACATATCGATGTTTTTCAGTGTTAGCGGGGGGTCATTTTCTTGGAGCTTCAAGCAATGCGCATTCACTTCGAATTGGCACGCCCCTCCTGAGGCAACCAAACAATGCATCCAATCCCAATATGCGTGCTGGATAGGGTTCAAATGCGTTCTGAGAACTGGGTCGTTCATGATCGACCCTGGCTGGTATGCTAAACCATGGCATTTTCCCCTGTCCTCGAATTCCTTGCGTGTCAAAAGTGGTTTGCTTGCTTCTAGGTCAAGAACCATGTCCAAAAACGATTCAGGTGTATGCATGTCAAAATCAGCAGGGAGCGTATCTTGCATATGTTTTGCGTACCCAGAACCCTCGAGCTTCCATCTGGGAGTCCTAACAATGTTTTTACAATTCAAACATGGTTTATTTCCATATGCCCCTTTTACACTCCAGAAATTCTTATGGGCCTCCTCATCCTGTATTACTGCCGAAAACTTGCATTGGTACATCGTCCTACCTCCCTTCGAATTTGGCAATAAAGCGCCAGTGGCCATGTTGCAACGCGTGGGTTCCAAAAACAAGCTGTGCAGAAACTGTTTCATGAGGCCGCTGAGGCCCGCGTCGACATGCTCCTGTAGCTCATATGGGAAAAAAACACGGCCCACCAGCCTGCATCACGCGAGCGCACCCATCTAGGAAGTTCCCTGACTGTCCAATCCGCCGCCCCCGGGCAGGGCACCAACCGCCTGTTAGCGCAAGAACAAGGAGGGCTCCATGAGGGGGGGGGGGAGAAAGGGGGTGAATGGGGGGCAGAGGTTGATCGGGAAATTCGCGCCAGCGCATGACTAAACAGCTTGTAATTCCTTGTTGGCGTCGGGATGGAGCGGGTTGGCAACCTGGAGTTTGTCGGTGTACAACACTACAGAAAAGCTACCACCCCCGCAGCACTTTTCGAACAACTCACAAAAACCAATTTTAGAACACAGCGTGAACAACAATGCCATTGGATTACAACAAAGTGACGGGTATGGGTCCATTCCTGTAGCCAAACTAATATTGACGATCGGCATCAACCCTCCGAGGGGGGTTCCAACGTTGAGCTCCTGGTTTAAAATCCGTCTCATGTCTTGGTCGGCCCCTGCAAGTCCAAACTCCTTCGCCAGGCTTTGCAACTTGGCCAGCGATAGCCCAGGAGCAAACTGAGACATCAACAATTTGCGTCTTTTGGAATCATCAAACTTTTCGCCAGAAGTGGGGGCCATGTCGGCGAGAAGGTGCAGAAAGGCTGGCACGACAAGAAACGAGCGCGGTGGCGAGCCAACCGCTTGAACCATGAGAAATCAAGTGCACGCGTCGCCATTGATTGCAAAAAATGGAAGAGGAGGAGGGCGAGAAGGAGGAGAAGGACGATGAATAGGGGCCACGAGAGGATGACGATGACAATGACAGCTAGCGGGGGTGGAAGCAGAAGAGGCAGGGGAGTGCGACGCCCGTCTTCTCCTCATTCGCACCGCTGCTCACGTTCAAAATGTTGCTCCCGCTGTGGCGACAGCGCCAACGACAATTTCGGTCCGCCCGCCCGCGTAAGTGTCGCGCGTGTTCGCTGCCACAAGCTAATTAAGTTTCAATTAACTTTGAGTTAACTTTCAGTTAGTAATTGGTTATAATTGATTAAGAATTGACTACAACGTGATTACTTTACTCACTTATCACAGTTCAAGATAACTAATAAGCAAGTGATTGCAAGTCTACTTGCAAGTGGCTAAGTGGGACCGCTCAGCGCAGTCAGGGCCGTCTGAGAACCCCCTTGGGCCGAGTTGGTGTCCTCTTGGATCCCTCCCCGGCCATCTTGGAGCCCTCTTGGGTCGTCATGGATCCTTCTCTGTGTGGGCCGTCTTGGGGCCAGTGCCGGTGCCAGTGCCAGCGGTGCTGCAGTGTCGGCACCCAGCACCGCGCGCTGGCGCCGGCGCCGGCGCCGGCCACCAGCGCCTGCCGCGTCGATGCGTCCGCCACCGGCCACCGGCACCGGCGCCGGCGCCGGCACCGGCCCAAGCCACTGGCCACTGGCCGCTGGCCACTGGCCGCTGGCGCCGGCCACAGGCACCGGCCACCGGCGCCGGCACCGGCACCGGCACCGGCACGCCGGCTACCGGCCACCGGCGCCGGCCACCTGCACGGGCACTGGCACCGCCACCGGCGCCGGCCATTGGCGCCAGCCACAGGCCACCGGCGCCGGCCACGGGCCACCGGCGCCGGCACTTGCACCACCGCCGGCACTGGCGCCGGCTACTGGCCACCGGCCACCTGGCACCGGCGCCGGCACCGGCACCTGCACCGGCGCCGGCACCGGCGCCGGCACTGGCACCGGCACCGGCCGCCGGCCACCGGCCACCGGCACCAGCACCGGCACCGGCACCGGCCGGCCTCCGGCACCGGACACCGGCCACCGGCACCGGCACCGGCACCGGCACCGGCACCGTCACCGGGGCAAGAATCGTTCATGCATTTGATTGAATTAGGATGAAGTGGAGGAGGAAGAGGAAGAGGAGGATAATAATGAGGATAACGAGGAGGAAGAGGAGGAGCAGCAGGAGGACGAGCAGGAGGATGAGGAAGAAGAAGAGGAATATGATGATGATGACGATGATGATGATGACGATGATGATGATGAGGAGGATGATGATGATGATGATGATGATGAAGAAGATGATGTTGATGATGATGGTGATGATGATGATACGGATGATATTGACGATACTGACGATGATGATGATCAGGGGGAGAAGGATGAGGATGATAAGAATCACAATGATGAGTAGCAGGAGGGACAGTTTTGGGATGATGATGATGCTGATGTTGCTGATGATGATGGTGACGAGGAGGAGGATGATGATGATGATGGTGACGACGACGATGCTGTTGATGCTGATGTTGCTGATGATGGTGATGCTTCTGCTGATGAGGATGATGATGATGCTGATACTGATGATGTGGATGATGATGAAGATGATGATGATGCTGTTGTTGCTAATAATGATGATGGTGATGACGAGGATGCTGATGAGGATGATGATGATGGTGATGATGCTGATAGTGCTGTTTAGGATTAGGATGATGCTGATGATGTTGCGGATGCTGCTGATGATGATGATGATGATGCTAACGATGCTGCTGCTGCTAATAAGAATGCTGATGACGATGATGCTGCTGTCGCTGTTGTAAATGATAAAGGTGATGATGAATATTCGTGATGACGATGTTGATGCTGCTGCTGTTATTGTCGACGAAGATGATGATGATGATGAGAACGATTGTGATGATCATGATGCTGACGTTGATGATGGTGATGGTGTTGATGATGATGATGCTGACGGTGATGCTGATTCTGACGATGATGATGATGCTG